GATCGAAATAGTTTATTTTGATTTTAATAAACTAAACGTTCACCAAAAAACTTTAGTGAGAAAAATCGAAAAAACGAACTACAAACATATTAACGCCAAACATTCGGTAGAATTTATAGAATATTGTAAAAATATATATATATATATATATATATATATATATATATATATATATGATGGGTGGAGTTTTTTTTATATCATAATGCTAATAATAATAAAAAATAATCATACAAACATGCAAAATACGACAGAACTTTCGTTTAAATTCCAAATTTAATTTAATTTTAAAGCGCTCAACTTTAAAAATTGAAATGATCAATAATTAGAATATATCCACTTGACACTCAAAGGTATCGAGTTTGATACTTGGTATCAAAGGTATCACCGATACCACAGCCAGTACTGAAAAAGTACCGTGCGATGCAGTATCGGAGTTAATGATACTTTGATGTTGACAGCCCTGATGAATGGTAGTTCAAATGATACAAACATAATGAACAGCATCTAGACGTCACCACATACACATACAAGCAAACAAACAAACTGCATACAAACCAGTAAACTGCATACAAACGAACAAACAACATACAAACATACTACATGGAAACAAACATACATACGTACGTAAGTACATAGAGACAAACAAACAAGCAAACATACATACACTCTCCAACATCTCCATATACGGGCATTCAATGTGATGGTGTGACCTCCATGCTTCACTCCTGCACTCCCCACTGCAGTACCTCACTCTCCTACATGTTAAGCAACTGATTGGTAGAAAGAATAATAATAATAATAATAATAATAAATAATAATAACACTAAAATTATGAAAAAAAAACAAGAAAGAAAAATTTCACTAGCTATAACTCGTCATTATCATCATCAATACCATCGTCATCATCAATACCATCGTCATTATCATCATCATCATCTACCACCATCATCACTACCATCATCATCATCACTACCATCATCGTCGTCGTCGTCGTCATCATCATCAGTACTACCAGCATCATCATCATCACTACCATCACCCCCACCACCACCACCACCACCATCGTACTGACGGATAGAAATTTTCCAGATCTCCGAGGCAGTTGAAGCATCTGGAGTGGTAGTAGGGTGGGAGGAGGAGACAGACGAAAGGTCGTTCCATGATCAGCACATCTCCCTCCTCTAACTCACCCCTCGCCTGATTTTTTTTTACAGTTTTTAAAGAGAAACTTCTCAGCAGTTAAAAATAACTCAGAATGATCCGAACTGATGTATCATTGTATTGACATATCATGTATTAATATTATTAGTAAATAATCTTTCTGTTGTAACCATTCTTAATTGTGATGACACTATTGTTACTAATCAGTCAACCATTTAATCAACTTAGAAACCAGTCTGGCAACTCAGCCAGCTTGCACATTAACCAACCAACCAACCAGTCAATCAAATAACCAACCAATCAATAAGACAACTAACAAACCAATCACCCAGCAAATTAATCGGTCAATCAAAAAACCAATCAGTCAAACAACAAACTAATAAGTCAAACAACAAACCAATCATCAAGCAAAACAACCAACCAACCACAAGATATCTTGTCTTCTCCTCTGAAAACTGCACACAAACACAGCGTGACGCCTGCATAAGCACATCACTCTTACCTCCCTTCACTTTTAAACTGTGACGTTACATTAATTTTTCAAATAAATCATAACTTAAATAAATTATAAATTATTATTGACAATTTAAAAAAGAATAAAATTAATTTTTCAAAAAGTACCTACATTTCTTCTTGTGTATGTTCATTTCGTGGTTGTTGTAAATGATGATGCTGTGGTTGTTGTGGCTGCTTCTGTTGCTGCTGCAGTTCAATTTTCCTCAACCAATCATCTACTTCCTCCGGTTTGGCGCCATTTTGAGGAGCCATCTTCAGCACCATGAGATCTGCAGTTTAATTAAATGTTCTCCACTTCTTGTTTGAAATGATTCAAATGATTCAAAAATTTTTCCAATGACGTCACCATCAATTCAAATTACATCCTAGCAGCTAATGAAATAACCTCAATACACTATCAATAAAATATCAGAGTAACAATATATTACTCTAATTAATAATAAAATTTATTTAATTTAATTAAAATTTAATTAATTAATTAACTAATCAATTAACTATTCATAATCAAGTATTCATAATTAATTAATTCATAATTAATTCATAACTAATTCATAAATATTCATAATTAAATATTCAAAATTAAAGATTCCACCATTTTTTGCTTCAGAGAAGTTGTTGAGATGGAAGAAGCACTGCGCTCTCCTCAGTATCAGCTTGTGGGTAGGCTGGTAGTTATGACCCAGAGAGTTTTGCACATCATTAATGCAGAACTGTAGAGGAAAAGAAAAAAATGTACACACACGCCGACGCACACACACACACACATACCCGACACACACACTAACACACATACACCGACACACACACTCACACACATACACACACATAAATATATATATATATATAATATTATATAATTGTATATGCAATCTTCACAATTCGATTCTATAGGGCAGGTGGTATATTTTTTGGTGTGTATCACGTATAAAAATGTTTGAAGGACGATTTTTAAAAAATAAGTTAAAAATTTACAACAGTTTCAATCGCAGGAAACAAATTTTCATTTAAATGAAGTTTTACATAACTTCTAAGTGCTTATTGACCATAACAACAACAATAATAATAATAATAAAAATAATCACATAATAATAATAATAATATAATAATAGTATTATTATTCTCATAACAGCATAAAAATGTGCTGCTACCTGATAATGATGAAGATGATAGTGGACAGCTGACCTGTTGGCCAGGCAGAGGACATATTCACTGTTTTCTCCACTCCCTCCTACTCCATCCTCATCAACTTTCAAGTCTGAGAAGGTTAAGGCCTGTTTTATTCATTTTGAGATTTCATCATTTCATCATCACTATTATTCATTATTCATCATTCATTATCATCTGTAATACCATTACAGAATGTACAATGGGCGTGTTAGGATGGTTTAAACAAGAAAAATAAATTAATCAAGTTATTTAATCTAAACATCTATTAAATTAACTCTAATATACTTTTTAATGAATAAATTTGAGACAAAGTTAATTTATGATTAATAATTAGGTAATAAAATAATAGACAAAGTTAATTTCAAATTGATAAATACTAAACATACAATTACCAGCAAACCTTGTTATATAGATCAAGAGCCTTCTCAAAATTTTTATTTTTGAAATATTTATTGCCCTCAATTCTAAGTTCTTTGGCAGTTCTGTGACATTTCTCATTGGTTGATGTTTTTGATTCTTTCGAGAAGGATTTTAAAGTGCGCCTTAATAAGATTAAATATGTTGGAATGGTTGAAATATTTTAAAGCTTTAGACTCTGGTGGCTATTTTGTCCTAATTTAAAAAAAATCTTCCATATCCACACATTTTGATTTTATTTAGCTATGTCTGATAATGAAAATATAATACAAAAATACATACTAAATACTTTAAGAGTCAAAACTGTTTTATTTTTAATTAATAAATTTTTATCATCAATTACTATATTTATTTTATTAATTTTTTTTTAGTTTTTAATTCTATCAATTTTTATAATATTTTGTGTAATCATAAATTTTCATAACAAATGAGTTTTTCAATAAAATTTAAAAGATCTGATTTTTTTAATTACAATTTAAAAAATTAATTAAATAAACTTAAATCATTTAATATTTAAAAAAAATTTAAATTACAAACTGGATCAGCTGCTCAGTGACATCCAAATGAAGCACACGCCTCATGCAATTAGTGAAACTTTCAGATTGGAACAATTGCACTAATTCTTCATCTTCCATTGGGGATAAAATTTTGTCAGACGACATCGTGGCTGCAAATTGAGTACCTGTCCCTAACTAAGCAACCTAACTTGAAGTTGTATTCGTTTACAATACATTCCAACTTAGCACCTTGGTAGTGGTCTGAAAAGTTAATCGAGATAAGGAATGCTAAAAGTGTAACGCAGTCCTAAAAATTTTAAAAATATTTAATACATCATTTTTAAATTTAAGTTTTTATTTAACAAATAACAATTAAAACAATTTAAATTGTAATAATTTATTGTTAAACTCAAACTTTTCGTTAATAGAGATTTGTTTGTTTAAAAAAGTTACTGATAAAAACCACTAAAATTACTTTAAAACGGAAGTTTTGATTTGACGAAAAAAAAAAAATCAAACCTTAGTGAGTCGGACACCGAAAGTTGGATTAAATTTCAAATTAAATAACTTTTCATCTTTACCTAATTTGTTGAATAGTTAGTTAGAAAATGGTTGAACGATTAGGTTTGTTGCTTTCAAATTTCACATAATTATCGGATGATTTTAGTTTATTTTTATATCATGGTGGTTGAAATGTTGATGGCTGGTTGTAGCTGTCATCTGAAAAAATTTAATTTAGTTTATTATTTATATATTATATTCTTCTTTTTCTAATTACATTCTCTAACTAAAACCTAATTCGTTTAGTGAACAGTGAAGCCAACTCTAAAAGGATTAATTTTGTTGAACAATGTTTTGGTGTTTCTGGTCAGGTAGGTGTGGCATGGTTTTTTCTTCATTTCATTATTAAATTAAATTAATTTAAACTAAATTAATTTAATTATTTATTAATTTGTAATCTTGAAAAGATAACAAATTTGAAGTATAAATTTTTTATTTAAAGTTAATTTTTGACATAATGTCATGTAATCAAGAATTAATTTTTTTTTAAATATTGGATTACTATTGGTCTATCTATTGGAGATTCAAGGACTGTTTAAAAATTTAATTAAAAAATTTAAAAGTAACAAACTCATAGTTTAAAAAATGAAATACTATGAGATAAGATAATGATGTAATGCACTTATTTCTTCATGAGTCTATAGTTTATAATTTATTTAAAACTTTAAATCTTATAAATGTAATTTATTGAAAAAATTATAACAGTTTTTTTTCTATTAATTTCTAAATCTAAATTCAGTAAAACAACTTCAAAATTCATTACTTGATCATATCAGGTAAATATTGTAATAAATTGATTTTTAAAAAAATGTTCAGCCCTTGGCAGCACCCCGACGAGTCCTCGTCGGGGAAGGTGTCCTAACAAAAATGTGTCGCAAGAAGCCAAAACCCAGACAGTTCTTCTTATTCAACGACATCCTAGTCTATGGCAACATTATCATCAATAAGAAAAAAGTTAGATTAGATTAGAAAGGGTTGATTGAGTTTGATCAGATTATAAATAAATTAATATTAATAGTATTATTTAACAATACTCATTTATTTTCATAGTAATGTATTAATTCACTACCATATCACATGATGACAACCTACGATTATGATGATGATGATGATGATAATGATGATGATGATGCAGTACAACAAACAACACATCATCAACCTCGAAGATGTCAGCCTTGAATCTGTTCCAGATGAAGGAGGTGGGTGTCATCCATCCATCCATCAATCTATCTATCTCTATTTATATCTATCTATCTATCTATCATAATTTTCAGCATCATCATTATCATCACCACTACCACCATTATTATCATCACCATTCTCTGCTGCCCATCACTAACTCCACCTTCATCGTCGTCATCAACTTTATCATCATCAGTATCTCTGTTATCATTATCTATATTTTGTTATCACAAAACCTATCAAGGAGCACAATTTTATTTGACCCTAACAAAATTTGCATGCATGTGTTTATTATTATTGTATTGGCAATAATTTGTTGGCTGTGTTGGACCTTAAACTACTTGTTAATATAGTATGTGTGTTTGTTTGTATGTGTGTGTTTGTATGTGTGTGTTTGTATGTGTGTGTATTGGTACTCATATTCATGAACTTTGATAGCAATGGTGACTAGCCATAAACATGCACACATGTTGCGCACGCACGCACACAACACACGCACACATTTGTGTGTTTGTATGTGTGGGTGTGCGTGTGTTTGTATGTGTGTGTGTGTGTGTATGTGTATTGGTACTTATGTAAATGAACTTTGATGGGAATGATGATAAGTGTAAAACATTTATAGCTATAAATATAATGCACAAATGTTGCACACGCACGCACACACGCACGCACACACTTACAACACACACACATCTCTTGCTATTGGCTGGTTGGTCCTGGAAAATTTTACCACCTTGATTTTGTTTATTGTTGTTGAAGAGATACTGATGAAAATGGTGATAATAGGGATGATAATGATGATGAAGAAAATGATGAAGAAAATGATGATGATGATAGTCTCTTTTATTTTGAATAAACTAAAAAACCAAAATGATGATGATGATAGTTTCTTTTATTTTGAATAAACTAAAAAACCAAAATGATGATGATGATAGTTTCTTTTATTTTGAATAAACTAAAAAACCATAAAAACCGCATATAAATACACATGTGAATCTACCACGCATCACAAACATTGCGTGTGATCGACTGGGATCTCTCTGCGTTTGATTGTTAACCAGGCAATGCAACACCACTGGCAGGCACGTTACCTGTTGCACCATCAAGTCGTCCATGTTCATATTTATGGTGGCGTCTGTTGGTGATGGTGAAGATTGCAGAGATGATGATGATGATGATGAATATTTTTTCAATTATTTCATAGAGCTAATGGTTTCTATGCAAATGATGGCGTAATGTGATGATGTTGGTTGTTCTTAACTGTAAACAGACTAATCGTGCATCAATTAAAATATAATTGAATGAATGAATCAATCAATTAAAATAAAATTGAATGAATGAATGGATTAATTAAAATAGAATTGAATGAGTGGATGATTGATTGCGTTAATAAGTAAATGAATGCATGCGTGTATGAATGAATGAATAGTAATATTATTTAATCATAACAATAATGGCAGGTAAGCTGATATATAACATGACAATGCCATTTTATACATACATGCACATGCACGTACAATATCACATGTGTACATCAAATACAACACACGCACATACACATACACCCATGAAATTATATGCACGTCTGCAATACAAATGCAGATGTGAAAAACACACAAACACACACATACAAACAATACAACTGAAAGGCAGCCTGGCATCACATGTTTATCCTTCATTTCTAATTGATTGTTAACATTTTTTTTTTCTCAATTCATCATCAACAGGTTATTGTCATTTGCGCGCACACACGCACGCACACACACACAGAGAAGATATATATATATATATATATATATATATATATATATATATATATATATATATATATATATATTCGTATCCTATGTCAAAATGCAGCTAGAGTCTACATTGAATAATTGCTGATGTATTTTTTTAGCTCCAGTTCACTCAATCAATTTTTTCTCAAATTTTGAAGATGAGACAAGCATTGAGAGATGGCTATTGTAGAAGTATGCCACTCAAGTTCCTTTCTCGCTGTGGTTTTTTTTTTTATTAATAATGATGTATAACGCCAGAATGTGGTGGCCAGTTTGGTGATTTAAGTTTTAAGGTTTTTTTTTCTTGTTCTCATTCTGGCAGCAGTATTTGAATTGAGATTAAAATAATGACGCGTGTAATGGTCTCGTTAATAATAATAATAATAATAGTAATGATGACGATGATGATAATAATGATATACAAACAAACAAACCAAAAAAAAATAGACGAACAAAAAACAGTCAGACAGACGCATAAACAAACCGACAAAGAGACTAACAGTCAGACAGACAGACCTGCAAAATGACATTGTAATAATATTAAATATATAGATGAAAAACAAAATAATGATAATAGTGAATAATAATAATAATATACAAATGAAAGAAGCATAGTAATAATATTAAATAAATAATAATAATAACAATGACGATAATAACAACAATAATAATAATATATCATAATATATCATAATTTCCAAATGTACAGAATTGTATAATGGCTGGCAGATCATAAGCCCGAGTAAGTCCTTCACAGTGTATGCAGCCACAGCCATGGAGAAGGTAGAATGGATGGCCCACATAACCCGGTGCATACAAGAACTCCATAAGACACGTATGTTTGTTTGTATGTTCTCTCGTTTGTATGTTCTTTTGTTTGTCTTTTGTTTATTTGTTTTTTTTTTGTCTGTTTGTGTGTGTCGTCTGTCTGTTTATTTGTTTTTTGTCTGTTGGTCTATCTGTCTGCCTGTTTGTGTGTGTGTGTGTGTCTGTTTGTTTGTATATGTGGGTGTGTGTGATTGTGTGTATATGTGTGTTTGTGTTTGGGTGTTTGCTTTGCTAGTAATTCTGCAGCATTTAATGTTGTTTACTTTTTAAAAATTTAATTGGGCTTGCTTATTTATTCATTCATGCTGCACATTCATTCATTCATTCATACATTCATTCATTCATTCATTCATGTCATCATCGTCATCGTCTTCGTCATTGTATTAAATTATGTTAAATTTCATAATGGTATATCACATTACATTGCTTAGTGGGGCACTGCTATGCCTATAATAACTAGTTTACAGCTTATAATAGCTCATATAATAATTATAATAATAATAATTATTATTATTATGACGATGATGATGATTGTAATTGCAAAAAGAATAATAAAAATATTTTGGTACTGTTCTAAACAGTAAGATTTCATAAACTATTAAGCATTATCTTTACATTTAGATTATCTGGTCTTTTTTTCTCTTCATTTGTTTACATGATACAACATGATATCCATCGTTGGTATCCATGATATCCATCCATCGTATCATGATATCCATGGTGTTATCATTATGTTGAAAGCAGCAGCAAGAACAACTACAACAACAGCAATACGTTAAACTGTTTGAATGTTCAGTGTTGTATAAGCTCCAGATGAGTTTATTCTTTTCAGTTTTTCGTTCTATTCCCTTTCTTAATTTTATTATCGTTACCGTTGTTGCTATATTTTGTATTGTAATTTGTTCGTTGTTGTTGTTGTTTCTGCCAGTTAATACTACTAAATGTGCTGATGGTACTGTTGTTGTTGTTGTCGTCGTTGTTGTTGTTGTCGTCGTTGTTGTTGTTGTTACTGCTACTGTTGTTGTTGTTGTTGTCATTGACTGTTATGTTAGTATTTGCTGTAGTTGCTCGTTTAAGCTGGCGTGGTTGTGGTTGCTGTTGTTTTAGTTTGGTCTCTTACGATAGATGCTGTTTGTTAGCACATCAGTCATCACATAATTCTTTTATTCAGCAGCTAGCACACTTGTTCAAGGTTAAGAACAAGACAGGTAATGATAGATAACATGATAAAAAAATTATCTCGGACGTTGTGTTTGGTTCATTTCTGTCCGATGACGATGACCATTGCAAATCGTTCGTTAGGTCTTGCTAACTCGTTAAAATGAAACTTAACCACACGTTCTCGCGTTTGTTGACATTCGTGCAGTCATTTGAATAAACCTGCTGAAAAAATTTCTAGCCTGGCTTAAAATGCAAGCAACAGAGCTTAGTTTAACTTGGCTGCTTTACGGTTAGCCTCTTTTAAAGTGTGTCTACATGCATACACGCACATACAAACAAACAAACAGGTGGCAAAAAATCCATGGTGACGGAGGCCTCGCCAGTCTGGGTACCTGACAACAACGCCGATGTCTGCATGAGGTGTCGCAAGTCGGAGTTCAACGTCATCAACAGACGGGTGGGTTCTCTTTCTTGGTGCTTGGTGGTTCTTAGTTGTTTAATCGTCGTTTGGTTTTTGTATTCATTTTCGTCATCGTCGTGTTCAGCCTCTCAGTTAATATCCATCATCATCTTATTTTTTCTCGAAATCATCTTACCTCTTTGAAACAGCTGTGATTTTTTAGATTTATTATCCTATTCCATTGTGTTTATTATTGGCTTTATTAGCACCATCATCACCATAATTACTCTCACTATCACCCACCACTGCACTGGCTGCCAACTTGCGACCATAGCACCACTGTCGCAAATGTGGCTTCGTCTGCTGCAACGACTGCACGAACAAGCGATGGCTGCTTCCGTGCATATCCACCAAGCCCGTTCGTGTCTGTAACGTATGCTACGAGTCCCTCGCACAAGCCGGTACGTCTGTCTGTGTGTCTGTCTGTCTGTCAGTCGGATGGTTGTTGATGATTGTGAAAGTTTTTTGCGCGTCAGTTGGTTAGGGGAGAGACGTTGAGATCAGTGGAAGAAAATTTCAGTAGGTGTGTTCTATTTATTTTGAACATCATTTTTTTAAGGTCGTGAGTCAGCATGCATGCTCGTGCATTTGGGTCAGTTGTGTGTGAAGTTAGGAAATACTTAAGTTTGTGTGCGTGTGCGTGCGTGTATGTACGTGTGCGTGTATGTGCGTGAGCGCGCGCGTGTGTGTGTGTCTAGTTGGCAAGCAACGTAAATAGCAAAATTGTTGTAATTTAATATTCTACCCTTAGAAAGTGATGTTTAATAGAAAGCAGTGTTGTGATAAAAACTTGTTGCTACTTGGCAGGTGGTGCGAGTGGTGCTGCTGGGGTGGGCGCCATGGGAGGAGGGGGAGGTCGACCGGATAATTCGGATTCGTCGGATTCCGATCCAGATGTTCCGAAGGATGGGAACGACAAAACTGATCAGGTTGGTTGTTGTGTTGTCCCTAGAGAGTTGTGATTGGTCGAGGCTTACAATCGGAAGATTATGATTGTGTTAGGTTCATGATTATGGATTATGATTGATGACATTTGATTGGTTGGCCATTTTATTCAAGTGATGCGATTGGTCGATGTTTCAACTGAAAAATTATTAAGATTGGTCGGCTGGCTGGTAGACTGTGGATGTATGTGACTAGATAGATCTTTGTTTACTAATACGATTAGATAGTTTTATTGATATGATTGTGACTACGGCTCATTATTCAATCGTTGTCTATGTTAAACTGGCAGTCGGGTCGAGACACTAAATAGCTTTTAAAATGCCTCACCGTCTACATAGGATATTCTCAATTTTATCAGATTTTTAACTTAAAAATTATTAAATAATCACCAATTATTTCGTTTTAATGAAATTATTACTAACTACATTGCACAGGCTACCTTTTATTGAAGATGGAGATTGTCGTTGAGCTGTGATGGTGATGAAGATGACGATGAAGACGATGGTGATGAAGATAAGATGATGACGATGGTGCTGATGGTGATGAAGATAATGATTCCAATTTGTAAACGCATTCATGCAATTTAGCTTATATATTTATGAATAAATTTGAGATTGTATGTTTATGAACTGCGTGTATGAACTCCTGTTTGTGATTGCCTACATTTGTTTATTTGTGTGTTTTTGTAAGAGTGAGAATTCCTCTGTGTGTGTGTGTTTATGTGTGCGTGTGCTTATGTTTGTATTATTGTTTATTACTTTCGATGCACGTGTGAATAAGGTAGATGCATTCATTTTCAAGCATTTGGTATATTATGTATGTTCTCTGTTCTCGTGTGTGTGTGTGTGTGTGTGTGTGTGTGTGTGTGTGTGTGTGTGTGTGTGTGTGTGTGTGTGTGTGTGTGTGTGCAAATTTATATTGTTTGCCCTGTGAACTTATGTCTGATGTGGGGGTATGCGCGCGTGCGCGCGCGCGTGTGTGTGTGTAGTATATACACACATCTGTTTGTGGATGTTTGTGCATATGTCCCTCACATATTAAAGATGTTCATATTCTTGAATGAAATTAACTCATTAACAGTGGCGTCACTAGGGTTTGTGTCACCCGGTGCGGTAACTCATGGTGTCATCCCTCTCATGACACCGACACCCCATAGACATAGAGCATTCTTAGCAAAATTTATAAATAAATTTACAGCGAAAATAGAAAAAAAAATAATTCAAGGTCGGTTTTTTTATTCTTTAAAAAAAATTGTGATCTATCAAAGATTTTAAGAAATAAAACTTTTTTAATTGTTATTTTTACATTAAATTTTATGTCACATAAAATCTCAATTAAATCAGAACTTCCCTTTCCTCGCCTTTAGAGATGCAAACTTGTTAATTACTTCATCAAAATCAACTTCTTTTGCCAAATCTCTTTTAATTGATAATATTGCAAGATCAGAAAGCCTAGACTGTCCCATAGTAGATCGCAAATAGTTCTTTATAATCTTTAGCTTTGAAAAACTCCTCTCACATGAAGCCACAGACACACAGATTGTAAGAAATAATTGTAGGCTCACTGAGAGATATGGGAGAGATTCTAGGAAGTCCCATTCAACTATGAATTTCAAAATGTCAAGTACTGACCAGTCTTTGGCTTCTTCAAAATCAATTTCTGCTGCCTTTAGTTGTCTTCTCAGTCTTGGTATTTCTAATAAAAGCTCTATCTCTGATAACTCATCATAGAATGTGGTTAATTTTGGAATGTTTACCAATAACTCTTCTTCAGTAGCAGATATCAAACTCTTGGCTTGAACAACCTCAAACATGGCTGCTACTTCCTTGATGGCTCTTGATTTGATCTGGAGTTCAGAATGGAAACGATCAATACACTCATACATCGCTCTCGTGTTTTCTTCCTGCAGAGTAAGTCCAGCATCTCTCTCGCGCTCGCCTGCCATCCTCTTCTTGAACCTGGGTCTGCTCTCTACTAAAATTCCATATTGGTCTGATTTTATAAGTGCCTGTTCAACTGCCTGCTCCACAAGATAATTGCGCTTCTCATACATAAAAAGTATTAGTGTCTCTAGCTTTGTCACCACCTTGTCAAGACTTAAGCCCTTAGTCTGCGTTAGATTTACTTCTTCAAGTACATCACACCAAAAGAAGAGGTAGCACAGAAAAGTGAAATTGCAGATAGTAGGTAAAAGACCTCGGGCTGTACCTCTTGTGTCTAGATTTTCCCCTGGATCACATAGACCTTCTATTGCCGCCACACATTTATCGAATTTTTCTTTCACTGCCTTTACTGCTGCGTGATGAAAACTCCAGCGTGTTGTTGATAATCATTTTAATGAAACTCCAGTGTGATTCATTAAAACATCCCATTGGTGAGTGGAAGCAGCAAAGAATGAAAACATTGTCTCAAGAGTTCCAAAAAAAGTCACGCACGAAGCATTTTCAGCAAAAGAGTGTTGGCCACACAAATTAAGAGAATGGTCCACACAACCATTAAAAATAGCTTTCCTGTTCTTTCTTTTCAAAATGGCTTGTACACCCCCATGGATTCTAGCCATAGTCGCAGCATTGTCGTAACCTTGAGCGCGGCACATCATAAAGTCGAGTCCATCACTTTCCAAATTTTCGAAAATATCAAAACTGAGATCAGCAGCTTTTTTCTCTTTTAAAGGAAAAAATCCCAGAAACACATCTCTTACTTCAACTTTTCTATTATGAATTTTCACATATCTGATAATTTCAGACATTTGGTCAGTGTGTGATGCGTCAGGTGTGCTATCAAACATGATACCAAAACACCGGGCAGATTTTATATCCATGATAAGCTTCTCCTTCACATGATTTGCTAGGACATGAATAAACTCATTCTGAGTATTTGGTGCAAGATAAGATGTTGATGCTTTAATTTTATATGTTGTATGAACTCCACCTTTACGTGGCATGATATAATATCCTTCAACAATAAATATATAAATATAAACAAATAAAATGAAATTATTTGAAATTTGGTTGGTTAAATGTAAAAATTTTTAAATTATTTGAATGCTAATAAAACAAATTATATTTGTACTTACGGATCAGGGATCAACTTTTGTGAAATTACTTTGAATTGTTGTCGTATATCATTAAATTGATTAAAAATTAAATAATTTTTTACTTTAAGTAAATTATAGATTATTCTCTTAAACTTGACTAACATACGCTTGTAGTGGGTGGGCAAAACAAACACAGTTGTACGTTATGTTAGACACGAACAAGTTAAATGTGCGCGGCCGCGGCGCTTAACAATTCGGACGTCGAATTCGAATGGTACAAACGTCGAATACAAAAATGATTTGAACGAAAAAATTTTATTCATAATACATTTCTGGGCGCTGGGCGGGTTAGGCTGAATCAATGATAAGAATAATTTCATGGAGGGACATAAAAACATATAAAGTGATATTTTGGTGTCACCCCTTGTGAGGGTGTCATCCGGTGCGGTCCGCACCCCCCTAGTGACGCCATTGCTCATTAAATTCACCTGGCACATACATTCAATAAGATACACGTCAATTGTGGTATTCTTGCGTTTCACTGGTGGTTGTGTGTGTGTGTGTATACACACACAGACATATATATATATATATATATATATATATATATATATATATATATATATATATATATATAGGTTTACTAGTTGTATATTTTGTTATCACTTTCCATTTGATACGATTAAAATTATCATCATCAGCATCATCAATATTTATTATTATTATTCTTCCTTATTTATTATTATTATTGTTGTTGTTGTTATGATGGAGACGATGATGATGGTTACAAAATTTTTATTGTTCAAAATCACTTGTATGGTCTTATTATTGTATTATTGTTGTTGTTGTTGTTGTTTTGATTATTATTTTTATATTTTCTTGATACATTATTATTAAGTCACTCGCATCAACTGAATTGTTCTTATTTAACAACAGCCACATTGTTATATTTTATATTTAAAAATATATATATATATATATATTATACTTATATATTATTATACTTATATATTATAAATTATACTTATTATTATTATACTTATATATTATACTTATATAAAAGATACCCTCTTTATGAATACTATTTACGGGTAGGCGAAACTTCATTCATTGCTACAAGTTGTCACCATAGCCCAGTGTTTGCATGTTATTTACATAGATTCATTCATTACGTGAGTTTTTTTTTACTCTCGTGGTTCGTTTCATTTACGATCGAATGATTGATTGGTTGGTTGGTTGTCTGGCTGATTGTTAAATAGGACTGGTTGGTTGATTGATTGGTTGATTGGTTGGTTGATTGATTGTTTGATTGATTGATTGATTGATTGTTCGATCAATCAATTTATCAGTTTCCTGATTGGTCGGTCGTTTTATTGACTAATTTAATTAATTTATTCACAAAGTCATCAACCAATCAACATTCAAAAGCGGAAAAGTACAAAATTGTTCAATGCAACACGCACACACATGTACGCACATCAGGCATACGTACACGCGCCTCA